CTCTGCCATCCCCCACCCAGTTGCCACTTCACCCACGTGGACACGATGGCAGAAGACCCATGTTCTTGACCAATTTACCCTATCATGGATTCTCACCCATAAAAAGTTATGACTCCATGCTGTCTTAAGTCCTTTCCAACTCAAATATGATGACACTAATATCTCAACAGAATGTCTAGGTCTCCACTTCCTCTCTTCTAATAGGAGAATATTTCTATGGCCACAAAGTAGAAATCCATTAAAAAAAAAAAAACCCACGAAGCCAGTCGAAAGTCTGCTTAAGAGACTTTGCTCTCACACTCAGTGAATGAAAATTCAGAAAACGTGGTCCTTCTCCCTCAGCAAGTGGGAAGTAGCTGGATGTGTGTGTGTGTGTGTGTGTGTGTGTGTGTGTGTAAATCAAATGCAATCAAGTCTGGGATATGTAGATTTTTTTTATGTCACTGTCATTTCATAGGGATGAGCCAACATTTAAAGTAATTTGAATCTCATGTTCTGAGAAATCCTCAGGCTCTTTTGGTGGAGGAGGGGAAAGGAAAGGAGGAAAGAGGTAAATGAAGCAAAAGAGTAAGAATATGGCTAGGGAAAGATAAGATATTAATGTTGTTCCAACTTGCATCACATACAAATTAGGAACTGGCTTCCCCCCACCCCGCCCCAATGTCTTGTCGAGCACTGAATTGCAGAAGAGACGAGAGTCCATTTCTACTTGAGCTTGTGACAGTACGTGACATTTTATAGATACAAATAATTTACCCTGATCAAACACTATATAGCAGCAGGCTAATTCTCCTATTTTGAGAGACAAGAAAACAAGAGTTCAAGGAGGGTGTATAACTTGACAAAATTCAGAGGACCAGTAAACTAAAGAGGATGAATTCAAACTCAGCTCCTAAGGCAGAGTCTGAACTTCGCACTCCCAGGACAGGAAAACCCTTAACACACAGGTTCCCCAGCTCCAGTGCATTGTTCCTGACACCAAGCATTTCCCATGGCGATGGTCTCCAGGTCTCACAGACACAGCGCTCTGTGCAGCCAATGACCTTGATCGGACCTTGATCATCTACCTGCCACGCCCACCAGGCTTCACCATATAGGCAGGAGAGCTGGCTTTCAAGTGCATACAAAGCCACCCCTGGTCTAACCTGGGCTCTTCTGCGGCTTCTCCAGCCTAAAGGCAGCCATGAAACTGCTCAGTTTGTTCATGAGCCACACTATCTCTCTCCATATGTCTCCCCACCTATACTACTTAGTTATGACCATTTTGATAATCTTGGAAACAAATTTTTTAAAAACAGAAAAGAAAGGGCTCTGGAACAAGTATTTAACACTTACAATTTTAAATGACAAGTTACAAAGTGAGTATTTACAAAATGAATCTGTCTTTCTAGGTGTCAGTTTTAAGCAGTTAAAAAATATATAGCAAAAAATTCTCACTTACAAAATGAACAAAACATAAACAATAATCTGGAATACACTCAAAAATAATGTCCATGTTCTAAACGGAGAAACTACAGGACTGTACTGAGGGGTAAAGTAAGAGGTGTGAATGTAGAGTGATCAACATATTGCATGGAGGAAAGCAGTTTTCTAAAGATGTAAGTTCTCCTTAGAATAATTCAAAACTTCTAAAAAAAAACCCATGAAAACTCCAATCTGATTTTTTTTAACTTGAACAAAATATTTAATACTATGCAGGAATAATAAAGTCATAATACTAGCCAAGAAAATTTGGGATGGAAGAAAAGAATAAAAAAGAATCACACTGTTAGATATTAAATAAACTTTAACAACATGTAATATATGGTGCCGGAGTTAGAAAGCATAGATTGACAAAGGAATCATGAGCTCAAAAAGAGACTCTAGTGAATGTAAGTCTTTTGTACAGGTGGGATTTCAAATTAAAGAATAAAGAATGACTTCAATAATTGTCCTGGGACAATCAGAGAATCACCTGGAAAGAATAAATTCTATTCCTGTCATAATGACCACAAGATAAATTACAGAAAGTGATGTAAATATTAGAAAGTACTAATAACAGCAAATACAAATCTTTGCTCATATTAACTCAACTTCTTCTCACTATGACAAGTACTATTATCATCTCCATCTTAGAGATTAAAAAACCTACGGAAGAGATTTATTCATTGTAAGAAAGTATTTCTAAGAATAATACCAAAGATAAAACCCATAAGGAAGACATTTACTATCTCAAGAATATTTTGGGCCACAACAACAACAACAAAAAAAACCTCCTGAACAAGTGAAAGCAAGCAATGTCAGAGAAAGCTGTGTGCTACATGTTGATGAAGACAGGATAATGTTGA